TCCTCATCCTCCTCCTCCTCCTCCTCCTCCTCCTCATCCTCCTCCAGACTTTTGCCATCAGATATGCCGCTCTCAGACTCCTGCTCCTCCCGAGCCAGGAGCTTCTTAAAAACCTCAAATTCCTCGACAGAAGTACAGGCTGTCCTGGCCAAAAACTCGGCTTCTGAAACTCTGAGAATGTTCTTGACCAATGGGTTAAGGATCTGTGTCTGCCCCTTCTTATCAGGGGTTTGGTACCGTCCCAGGCGCTCCAAGTAAATGTGTCTCTGCTTAATCTTGGTTAGTGGATACTGCAAGTACTCACTCTTTACAATGTCTGGATGCGTAATTCCCATCCTGAAATATGCATACTGGAAGACACAAACACACTTAGGAATACCACATAAAGTCTTAAAACCTGTCATTCTACAAACCATATAAACTTAGCTTGTACAAAAGGATTCAGAAAGAATTGCCTGATTGACAACAGTGGAACGCCCACTCTAGAATGCCAACATTTGTGTGGCACCTGGCAACTTCAAAACTTTCAAATTCACATTGAGAAACATGTAGCAGAAAATAAAGAGGCAGGAGGGAGAAGTTCTATTTCTCCTTAAACAGGGAAGGAAAACTATGAATATGGAAAGGATAGGCAAAACATTCAGAAAACATCTAGAAATTTGACCTAAGTTGCCATAATTATTACTAAAAAATCAGGACAACTGTTAAAATCACATTTTCAAAATCAACATGCAAAACAGATTCTGAGGACAGGAAGGCTTCAGCTATTTTAAAATTAGCTATTTCAGAATCCCCGCTTAGACCCTAAGAATAGGACTGGATCATTCATTATTAATGGCGGAAAAGTTGAAGAATAGGTTTGATCTGTAGTAAAGAACTTAAAGAACCAGAACCGAATTCTCTGGCTGATGTATGCAAAGGCAATCTAGTCTTTCACTTCCGCCACTCAAATATGAGGGCTCTCAGGCTTCTTATCCATATAACTGACCCTTACTGCATTTGAAAAACTTGCTATTACCACCCTAATCACCCTGTCAGTCATCTCACCTGAAACTTATATTCCAACTGGCCCAGGTCCTCTCGAAGAACAAAGGGGCAGCTGTGCAAAATCCTGGTGACTTGCTGTACCGTGAAAAGGCACTTCTCCTTAAGAAGCCTGACAGTGCCATCAATGTCCCGCTGAGGCATGGTAAAAATTTCAGGGCAACAGGAAAGCACCCTCTTTAATTTCCCTGCAGAACATTCAAAAAAGGCAAGCACATCATTTCAAGATACTCCAGAAACCAAGGAGCTAGCTGCACCAGATTTAAGTCCACATTTAAAAACAAACAAGGATCCTTTCCTTCCACAGACCAAGTGGCAATTTCAGGCATGTTTTCCCAGAAGCACCATGGAAATGAGACGTCTCCCCACTGACTCCAGGACACTCCTCAGACTCACCAGCCCTCCCCCTGCATATTCCTGCTGTATTCTGGCCTCCACCTGAAAGGTGCCAACTTTGTATTTTGGGTCTCCTCTTGCCCTCCTCACTTGGAAAAGAATTTCCCAGGCATTTACTGGAAAGATCAGACAGTAATATGGGAGAGTAGTTTCCTCCATTTTGGGGCTTTAGGTTGATGTTTCCCTCTATAATAAAATAGTCATCGAAGCATTCACAGCTAACATTCTCAAGCTGAACTCAATGAAAAGGAGTTGCATCACCGTCATGGTGACAGTAATAATAACAGTGATCCTGAGAACACACACCAGCACTGACATCCTGGTTACCAGGGTCACTATGTATCTTATCCAAGCCAGGGCACTCTGGGTGAGTCAGGCCCTATTAAAACTGCATTAACTGGTGTAAACTGGGACTAGTCCAGGCCCTCCTAGGGACAGCTGAGCAAAATTCAGTACTTGAAAACTTAAAGTCAACTAAACTGCTAATTAAATTTCCTAACATTTGAGTTAGTGATTATCTTAATGTGTGAGGAATTTCAGTTTAGGTTTTATCTTCATCTCTTCAGGCTGTGCTGAGTTTGCTAATTAATAATCACTGCACATAATGCATCAAGTTTAGGCTTTTAGATTATACGGTAAGAGATAATCTGTTAAGAAAAATATACAAGGCTACCTTTTCCTTATCTTCTAGAGGAGTCCTGTAGAGATGCTGTGAAATGGTGGGTCCTGCACCTTCCACCCCTGCCTCAAAAGAAACCTTACCAGGAAGAGTCAAAAATGAAAATAAAGAATAGTGGAACTCCTCTGGTCAAAGTGGGTAAGGGTCCTTGAGACCCTCATGAGCCCCCAGCTCCTCCAGCAGGCCTCTAAAGAGATCCTGGGAACTCTGGGCATCCGAGATGTGAATATGCTGGCACAGGAGTGGGGGATGCATAGAAGGGAAGGCCACTCCACCAGTTTCCCAGGAACCTGGCAAGATCTCTCGGATTCCACAGTAAATCGAAACACTCGGCTGGAAGTTAAGTCTTTACAAGAGATGTTGGCTTGACATCACAGAGACAAAGCACTAAGACCATTTCATGTTGATTTAAACATCAAATGTTCTATGTACACACATTTACCAGTATCACATCTCAGCATCAACCCACTGGGCATATACCACATGCTCATCACTGCACTGGGTGCTAAAGAGCCCACAGTGAAAAAGGCAGACACGAGTCTCTGTCCCGGCACTCCATTTTTTTCTAGCCTTAACTCTTCCTCCTTCCCTCTCGAAATGCGTTCTGCACAGAAGGCCACTCCTATTCCTCCAAGCCAAATTACACATTCCTCTCCAGGAACACGGACACCTCAGAAATCCCCTAATCCATCTCGCCTTAGGCTCTTCTCTCCCCAGCTCTGGCTTCTGTCACACTGTATAAAATCTGCTTTTTTTTTTTTGGAGACAGTCTCTCTGTCACCAGGCTGGAGTGCAGGGGCACCATCTCAGCTCACTGCAACCTCCACCTCCTGGGTCCAAGTGATTCTCCTGCCTCGGCCTCCCAAGTAGCTGGAATTACAGGCACGTGCCACCACACCCAGCTAATTTTTGTAGAGACAGGGTTTCACCATGTTGGCCAGGCTGATCTTGAACCCCTGACCTCAGTGATCTGCCTGCCTCGGCCTCCCAAAGACGTGGAATCACAGGCGTGATCCGCTGCACCCGGCCAAAATCTGCATCTCCTTGTACCTTCTCCAAGCCCAAGCTTTCGCAGGTAACTGGAGCGCCTCCTCATTTGCTTAATAGGCAGTTTCAATAACTGGGGACTTTTCTTCACAGCGACACACACAGGCTCTGGATTCAAACCCAAGAGAATAAATTCTGAAATGATGTCCAGCAACTGTTGAGGACTGGCACCTGGCTGTACACGGAGCAATTCATTAATATGGGCATTGCTGAAACCCATGTCCTGGAGGGAACTGACGACTCTCTCCAGCACCAAGGACCCTTGTTCCACAGGAGTCCTCTGCCCCTCAGGGAGGCACTGAACAAGATTCCTCCTGCATTCTGGCTCCTGCACAGAGTCACTGGATCTAATACAGGATGACTCCTCAATGAACCCTCCACTGGAGGCTGTGGTCAGTTTGCGCAACATGGAAGCTGTTGTCCTTCTCTGTTCTCCAAGATGAGGAATCTGCCTAGCGATACAGGCCCAGGTGAGGGGGATCAGGCGGTGCCAGTCAAGGACCTGTAAGACACAGCACCGAAAGACAATTAATTCCTCACTATTCCAGTGCAATGGACACCACAAGATTTTTGAGCCAGGGTATTTACTGCCTTGATTCCACATAAACATAACAGTTTTTATAAGCAATCTGCAAAATCATATCTGAACTTAAGCCTACAGAGAAGGAAGCTCACATACAGAGAACAGGGTATTTCAAGGGCATAGAGATGGGATCCAAGCAGATACAATATTGCTAGCTTTTGCAGCTCCAAGGATGGGAGCAGAGACATGGAGGAAGAGGGAAAAAGTATCTCTAGGCCACCTGGTCATGTTTGCCAGAAAAGTCTCACCTCAGACTACTTTCCAGATTCACATTCCTATATTCATTCCACAAAATCTGGTGGGATACAGAGTTGGCCCTTAATCCAGTTACTCGGGAGGCTGAAGCAAGGGTTTCAACTGCTTGAATCCACTTATATGTGGATTTCCTTACACCTCTACCACCCTTGAGACACCAAGATCAGCCTCTCCTCCACCTCCTCTTCAGTCTAAAGACCTTACGAGGACCTGCTTCCTCTTAATGAATAATAAATGCACTTTCTCTTAGGATGTTCTTTTTCTTTTGCTTTTTGAGTTGGGGGGCATCTCACTCTGTTGCCCAGGCTGGAGTGCAGTGGCGCAGTCATGGCTCAC